AGAGCGAAGGAGCATGACAGACACAAAAAAGGAGCACGGCAGAATAGACCCCAAGAGAGAAGGAGCACGGCAGAATAGGCGCCAAGAAAGAAGGAACATTGCAAACCACGACCAGTGACCAGGAGCACGGCAGAATAGACCGCGAGAGCTAAGGAGCACGGCAAGATAGATGCAAGAATCCAGCATAATTCCCCCCAAGGAAGAAAGAGCATGCAAGAAAAACACAAGGAGCACGGCAGAATAAACCCCGAAAGCGAAGGAGCACGACAGAATATGCCCCAAGAGCTAAGGAGCACGGCAGAAAACGACCAGGAGCACGGCATCATAAGTCCCAAGAACGAAGGATTGTGACAGAAAATGGCCAGGGGCATGGCATAATAGGCCCGTAGAGCGAAGGAGGACGGCACAAAAAAAACAACGAGCATTGCAGAATAGACCCCGTGAGCGAAGGCGCACGGCAGACCTGCTCATTCGTTGCCTTGCTCTTTTTTCGCCGACCATGATCCACCCGATTTTTGTGAGGATGTATGCAGCGAGAGCGCGATTTTTAATACGAGAGGTAGTAAAAAACGCCACTCCAAGAAATCAGTTTTGCTAGGATGTCTCAGGCGAGACACCCGTTTTTGAACATCTGTCGAATTCGCGGCTTCCCATGTTTAAGGGATGTCTCAAGCGAAACGCTCATTTTTGATGACATCGATGTTGTGAACGTTTCATTTTTGTAAGGATGTCTCAGACGAAATCGCCATTTTGGATCGTCTCGAGGGCGCTCCGGAGGGTCAAATTTGGGCTTGATTGGGGCCTTTGGGGGCCTTCCTGATGCCTTACAAAACCGTTACAGTCCGATGTTACACACATTCATTTGTTCAGGATGTCCCTAGCGAAATCGTCATTTTTAGATGACTGGCTTAAACCATCTAGAAGCATTTTCAGGAGCGATCCCAAGACGATGTCAAAACAGCAGTTTTCAAAACGATGTTGTTCGATGTGCTATTTCCCAACCGTCCTGTGGTGTTGGGTCCTCGTTTTGAAGAGACAGCGCCCCGCGTTCACTCCTTCATTCCTCCCGCTGCCCCCTCCCTCGTCACCGCACCCATAGGGAGCTCCACCGAAGGCCCCAGTGGCTGCGTTGGCATGGCGGCGCCGCGCCCATTTCAGCACACCCCTCACACGTTTCGTGGCCCCATACGGAGCTCCACCGAAGGCCCCACTGCCTGCGTTGGCATGGCGGCGCCGCACTCAATTTGGCTCACCCCTCACACGCTCCGTGGCCCCATAGGGAGCTCCACCGAAGGCTCCAGTGGCTGCGTTGGCATGGCGGCGCCGCGCCCATTTCGGCACACCCCTCACACGTTTCGTGGCCCCATAGGGAGCTCCACCGAAGGCCCCAGTGGCTGCGTTGACATGGCGGCGCCGCACACATGTCGGCACACCCCTCACACGTTTCGTGGCCCCATATGGAGCTCCACCGAAAACCCCAGTGACTGCGTTGGCATGGCGGCGCCGCACACATTTCGGCACACCCCTCACACGTTTCGTGGCCCCATAGGGAGCCCCACCGAAGGCCCCACTGCCTGCGTTGGCATGGCGGCGCCGCACACATTTCGGCACACCCCTCACACGTTTCGTGGCCCCATAGGGAGCTCCACCGAAGGCCCCAGTGGCTGCGTTGGCATGGCGGCGCCGCACCCATTTCGGCACACCCCTCGCACGCTTCGTGGCCCCATAAGGAGTTCCACCGAAGGCCACAGTGGCTGCGTTGGCATGGGGGCGCCGCGCCAATTTCGGCACACCCCTCACACGCTTCGTGGCCCCATACGGAGCTCCACCGAAGGTTGCTGTGGCTGCGTTGGCGTGGCGGCACCGCACCCATTTCGGCACACCCCTGACACGCTTCGTGGCACCATGGGGGGCTCCACCGATGGCCCCAGTGGCTGCGTTGGCATGGCGGCGCCGCACCCATGTCGGCACACCCCTCACACGTTTCGTGGCCCCATAGGGAGCTCCACCGAATGCCCCAATGGCTGCGTTGGCATGGCGGCGCCGCACCCATTTCGGCACACCCCTCACACGTTTCGTGGCCCTATAGGGAGCTCCACCGAAGGCCCCAGTGGCTGCGTTGGCACGGCGGCGCCGCACCCATTTCGGCACACCCCTCACACGCTTCGTGGCCCCATCGGGAACTCCACCGAAGGCCCCAGTGGCTGCGTTCGCATGGCGGCGCCGCACCCATTTCGGCACACCCCTTACACGTTTCGTGGCTCCATAGGGAACTCCACCGAAACTCCCAGTGGCTGCGTTGGCATGGCGGCGCCGCGCCGAAGAAGATGCTCACTATTGCGGTACTCACAGCTGCATATGGTTGGGTCCTTCACCACGCTAATTGTTTGGAAGATGTCCCTAGCGAAATCACTAGTTTCAGCAACCTTAAGGGCGCTCTTGGAGCCATGTTGTGGCCTTCTTTTGCTTCCTGATGCCTTCCTAAAATCATTACGATGCCATGTCGCACGCATCATTTTTTGAGGGTCCCTAGCGAGATCGACATTTTTGAAGGCTGCCTTGGGCCGTCTGGAAACCTTTTCAGAAGCAGTGCCAAAACCATGTAAGAACAACAGTTTTCAAGTCGATGCTGGTGTATGGTTTCATTTGTTGGGGATGTCCCTAGCGACAACGCTATTTTCGGAAGTCCCCCCAATCGTTTTGACAGCCACCTTGACGTGCTTTTTGGCATCCCATTTCGTCATCTTGAAGTACTTCGAGAACGATATCAAAACGACGTTGAGGACATCTCATTTGGTTGAGGATGTCCCTAGCGAAATGCAGATTTTCTGAAGAATCCGCTAAGCCTCTGCACCGTGCAATCCGCCACCCCCTATAGTTAAGATATCTCTTACTGTTGTGAAGAGGATTCAGCCAAAACGTCCAGCTCACTTCTCGTTCCTCGAAGACGCTTCCCGTCATCCGCCGCCCCCTTGTGGGTCTCTAGGCGTGTGGGATAGTTCCCCCCCCATACCCCCCCCCCCCCCAGGGACGCGAAACCGGAGATTTGACCCCCCCCCCCCTCGCCTACCACGATCCCCCGCCGAACGCGCCAAGGGGGAGCAGAGGGCCCAAAAACGGGCCAAGAGTGCACCAAGGGGTCTCCGAGACGGTCCAAGAAGGCCTTGAGTAGCCAAACAAGCGGTCCAAGACGACCAAGATGACTCCAAGACAGGCAAAGAGACCTCCAAAACGGCCCAAGAGGCCTCCAAGATGCGTCCCAAGAGGGTCCCTAGACGCAAAAATGGGCCCATTCCCTTCGTAAAACGCACAATTTTCACAAATTCGCCTTCTGGGTTTTCCGATGCTCCCAGACGGCCCAAGAGGCCCCCAATACCGCCCCAAGACGGCCCAAGAAGCCTCCAAGAGGGCCCCAATATAGCCCAAGAGGACCCCAAAACGGCCCAACAGGCATCAAAAACGGACCAAGAGGGCCCCGAAGACGGCCCCAAGAGCGCTCCAGGAGCGCTCCAACTGGCCTCCAAGAGAGCTCAACATGGTCCCAGACGGTCCAAAAACGATCAACAACATCGAAGATGGCCTCCAGACGGCCCAAGGCGCCCCCAAGAGGCCTCCAAGATACGTCCCAAGAGGGTCCCTAGACGCAGAAGTTTGCTCATTTCCCTGGTAAAACGTATATGTTTCACACATTCGCCTTTTGGGCTTTGCGACGCTCCCAGACGGCCCAAGAGGCCCCCAAGACCGCCCCAAAACGGCCCAAGAAGCCTCCAAGAGGGCTTCCAAGACAGCCCAAGAGGGCCCCAATACGGCTCAAGAGGCGCCGAAGACGGCCCAAGAGAGCCCCGAAGACGGCCCCAAGAGCGCTCCAGGAGCGCTCCGAGTGCTTCCAAGAGAGCTCAAGATGGTCCCAGACGGTCCAAGAGCGATCGGAGACACCCGAGATGGCCTCCAGATGGCCCAAGGCGCCCCCAAGAGGCCTCCAAGATACGTCCCAAGAGGGTCCCTAGACGCAGAAGTTTGCTCATTTCCTTAATAAAACGTATATGTTTCACAACTTCGCCTTTTGGGCTTTCCGACGCTCCAAGACGGCCCAAGAGGCCCCGAAGACCGCCCCAAGACGGCCCAGGAGGCCCCCAAGACGGCCCCACGACGGCCCAAGATGGCCCGAGACGGCCCAAGAGGTCCCCAAAACGGCCCAAGAAGGCCCCAATGCGGCACCAAGAGGGGCCTAAGAGGGCAACTAAACATTCAAAAAGCTAGCTTTCCGCCCCCACGAGCCCCCAAGAATGCCCCAAGAGGCCGCCAGAGGCCCCCAAGAGGCCGCCAAGACGCCCCAAGGAGCCCCCAAGAGGCCCCCAGGAGGCCCCCCAAAGACCCCCAGACGCTTCCGTATTGCGAGCCGTGAAGCCAACTGCAATGCACTCCGCGCATACAGCCTTGCTCTTCCTCGTGAAGTGCTCACTCTCTTGCTCGGCGCTAGTGTGCTACTGCCGCGCGCACTGTTCCGTGCGCGCTGCGAACGTCAACAGCCTCTTCACCCGTTTCGACTCATCTGCCACATCTTTCGCGGCGATGCCTCGCTGATCACAGCTTCCGCACACCACTCTTGCTCCTTTCGTCTTCCGGTGGTCCTCCACTTGGTTGCGGGTCGAAAGGCCGACCTCCCAGAAGGACACCCCGCACCCGGGTGCACAGCACGCAAGGCGCTCGCAAAACACGCCCCAAACCACTGGCATCACGCAAACATTTGGACACCCTACGTATCTGCCACCACCCGCGCGCGACATCGCACCCTCACACAAGACGCCGCTGGCCTCGCAGCACTCACAGAAGGGGTCGGCGGATGTGGCGTAAGCCTGTAGAATCAGACAACAGGAGGAGGAGGAGGAGGAGCAAGAGGAGGAGGAGGAGCAGGAGGAGCAGGAGCAGGAGCAGGAAGAACAGGAGGAGGAGGAAGAGACGGAGGAGCATTCCCCAAAATGCCCCGCCCCTGCGTCGGCATCTCCTGCGGCTGTGCCCTCGGCGGCGCGCCACGGCTGCGTCGACGCCACGCCCGCCACGGCTGCGGCGCCGGCGCCGAAGGCCCACTGCGGCGGAGCACCGCCGAGGCCAGGCGCGGCCTCCACGCCACGGCTAAAGTGTTCTGTGTTTTGTGTGTGTGTGTGTTTTTGTTGTGCGTGTGTCTGTGTGCGTGTGTTCGTGTGTGTGTGTGTGTGTGTGTGCGTGTGCGTGTGCGTGTGTGTGTGTGTGTGTGTGTGTGGTGGTTGTTGTTGTTGCTGCTACTATTGCTGTTGTTGCTGTTGTTGTCGTTGCTGCTGCTGTTGCTGTTGCTGTTGTTGCTATTGCTGTTGCTGCTGTTGCTGCTGTTGTTGTGGTTGTGGTTGTAGTCGTTGTTGTCGTTGGTGTTGTTGTTGTCGTTGTTATTGTTGTTGTCGTTGTTGTTACAGTTGTTGCTATTATTGTTGTTGTTGTTGTTATTGTTGGTTGTTGTTGGTGTCGTCTGCTGTTTTGTTTTGGTGCTGGTATGTCTTAAGGTGATGTGCTCTTCGCTTGTTGTGAAATATGGTTCATTGCTGTTTTGACAGCTGCTGCTTGTTGTTCTTTCCCATGCGATGCCAGCCCGCACTGCACCACTTTCTCACAGTCGCCACCAGCCAGCCACCAAGCCAGCCCAACAATGGTGTGGCCGTCGCAGCACATGGCGAGCATCACCGCGGGCCACAACGCAGCGCTCTGGGGGGGAGGAGGTCTTGCAGGACTTTCGAGAAGAGTGCTGGTGGGGAGTCTGAAACAGATTCGCAAGGGTTCTTGGGATGTTCTGGGCCCCCGGAAGGAAGGGGGGGGGGAACATCGGGGCAGGGAGAAAGAAGACGAATGATTTGTTTGACATCAGCGCCAAACTCCACCAACCGAGGATGGAAGAGTGGGGATGGCGCAGGCCTCTTCGTTCCGCCTCGGCACTCGCTTCAGGCTGCTTGCCGAGCTGCCCGCACAAAGGAGCTGCATCGCCATAGAGGGAGAAGAGGGGCCTCTTGTGCACAATGTGCGTAGAAAGACTCATAGCTCTCCAGAGCTATAGGCGATAAGCGACACGTTGTTGCTGTTGCTTGTTGAGCATGGAGCGACATGGATAAGCGAACTCCCCCCAACAGACGTAGAACAATACATGGTTGGCGGCGACGCGCCCCTGGTTGCTCGAGAACCGCCGTCGCAGACCCTGCACAGAAGTTGCGGCCGCAGAGGCACGGCCTATGTCCCAAGGGCGCTGGCTGCCTCAATCCGTCCTGGTTTCGAGGTGTGGCGGAGATGCCGCGGAGATCTCGAAGCAGCGGTGGTGCCTTCATCCTGTAATTTTCATGGCGTGAGCATCGCAACTGCTGCTATCCGTCGTCGGCTTCGGCCTCGACCTCTGAATCATCGAGCGCGCACGGGAGACCTTCGTGCCATGTCGCAGCTCCCGTAACCCCGTCCTTCCTATTTCGTTTCCCCCTGTCGCCCCAGCTCGGATTCAAGCTAGACTAGCACTCTCAAGGTCTACTGCCGCTAACAACCGTGTTCCGAAATCGCCCGAGTGCCGTGGAGCAGTCTCTCCCAAGCGTGGCCATGCCATGAACAAGGGGACCTGATCGGCCATGCAAATGCCTCCCCCTCCTCTTACTCCTAGACCTGGCCGTTCGTCGCCATCGCAGGTGTCGTTGTTGTCTCGTCGGCGTCGCCGTCGCCGGATGCGTCTTCATTGCCTTCAGCGTCGTCATTGTCGTCGTCGCCGCCAGCGTCGTCGCCACCACCGTTGTCGTGAAGGGGAACGACAGGGGGTGTCGGCCCAGAGGAGGAAACATCGACCTGGACTGGGCGATACATCGCCGATAGGTGGGCGATGGGACCTTGATGGCAAAACCGCACGGCCCTGGGCGAGGTGGGCCATTGGGCCCCTATCGCCGCCGATCAGTCGGCCATTGGGCGTCGATGCATCCCCCCCCCTGAGCCCTGAACCTGCGTATCCCCGTCCCCAATGGTTGTCGGACCACAACTCGGGCCTTCAGCGGCCCTCCGAGACGATCCAGACACTCCTTGTGGAACGCTCTCGCCGAGACGCAGCTGCTCAAGAACACCCCGATGCTGGAAAACGGCCGAGATCCGACGAAAACACCCGAAAACCTTCAACCTCTAGAGCCCCTGCGATCTTTAATAGAAGAAATGCCGGAGCGAACAGCGCCGGCGCACAAGGCGCACAAGGGTTCTTGAGCTGAGCAGCGCTTCGCCAGATGCTCCGAACCCAAGGGCAACCTTCAGAGCCCCACATAATGCACGCAAGGCCCCCCGCGCAAGACTCTGGCGAGTACCCTCTCTGACGAACACAGAAACATTGCTCCCCGAAACGAACGACGAACGGCGAGCCATCACCCCTACGTTGCCCCCGACTCGGCGGCGGCGACAGCGCCTCCGGTGAACACGTCGGCACCCTGGCGTCGAGGGCGAACCGTGCGGCAGGCAGCCCGGGAGGCGTGGCCGCCCGGCTCGGCGGCGCCTGGCCGCTTCGGCAGGGGCGCTGGCTCTCCTCGCCGTCTCGCCTGCTCCGACCCCCCCTTCACTCTCGGCCCCCCGCTCCCCCTCGCCCTCTTCCCCTCCCTCCTGCACCCCTTCCTCCTCCTCCTCCTCCTCCTCCTCCTCCTCCTCCTCCTCCTCCTCCTCCTCCTCCTCCTCCTCCTCCTCCTCCTCCTCCTCCTCCTCCCCCTCCTCCTCCTCCTGCAACCTGCAACCTGATGGCATCTGTGTCTCCCTGGCGCTGCCCTTGCCCCGCTCGGAGGCGCCGTCCGGCGCGCCAGGCGGGGCAATCCCGAATGTGCCGATCTCCGCGCCGGCGGGCGGGGCCGGCGAAGGACGAGGGATCCAGGGGCGCAACGGGCCCCGAGAGAGGAAGACGAAGGGGGCCCGAACGCGCGGACTGACGCGGGAATGACGAGGGGAGGCGGGGGAGGGAGGCGAGCCCCCGTGGCGGCCCCGGGCCCAGCCCGCGCCGGGACCCCGGGCCCGCTGGTGGCAAGAGGCCCCTCGGCGAGACGAGTGGCCCTTTTGGGCTTCACGGCCGTCGAAGGCGCTGTCGTTGGCGATGGGGTAGGCGGCGTCGTCGCGGTGGTGCCCGAAGACGTTGGCGGAGTTGTACCCGGAGTCGTGTATCCGCCGAAGTTGTCGCAGCCGCCGGAGTTGCAGCAGCTGGCGGCGCCGAGAGGAGGGCGGCGTTGAGGCTGCGCTGGCGAAGCCTTCGCGGTGCGGTTCTGCTGGTGAGAATTTCGTGGCGGATCCAGCCTCGGGGACAGGAGAAGGGTTCTTGGCGACATAGCCCGAAGGGTTATGTGGGGGGGGCGCCAAGGGGATCCCTTGGGGGAGAGGGGGGGGGGGCATCGTAACGTTTTTCAAGGCTGATGACCAGATCTTCTCCAGGATGGAGCCTCCGAGGGGGCATATCCTCGGACTCTTTCTGGTTGCCGTACTGGCTGTATCACTAGTAGTCGTGGTGGCTGGCGCAGCTGTGCTGGCTGTCGAACTGGATGCAGTGTTGGTAGCCGTAGTTGCTATCGTATTGGACAGACTCGCGCCTTGAGGCGGATTCCAGGACGTTCGTGATGAGGCTGGGGATCAATTCTGGCGCCTCTCTGTTCAGGTTGCTGGTCTCCTGCGTGGTCCGCAGGTTATCGCTGAAATTGAGGTGGTTTCGTCGGGCTCTGGCGGCGGGGACGTCGTCTGTGGCCGGCTGCGCCCGACGAAGACCGTTACGATGTCCTTGGTGTCTGGTGTGAATCCTTTGCGCACTGCGTATGCGAATCGGCGCATGGCCGAAACTCCGGGTTGTTGTGCTCCCTGTTGAAGGGGATGGCGAAGTCCACGTACTCGTGGGTCTCCGCGATTGCGGGTAGAGCTTGGCGGCAAGCCGGTGATCTCGTTGGACACGTTTCGGGCGTTGGCAGAACTGGGTTTGGTGGGACCTGGTTTAGTGATGTGTGCTGGGGGGCGCCCCCCCGCCCCGTTCCACCAACCGGAACTGCCGTCACCCCGCAAAAGACGCTACCCTGGAAAACCCGAGGGTTGGGGGAGAGCGCGGGGAGCGCTGCGCGTTGGGTAGGCACGCGCCCGCGGGGGGGGGCGAGCGGCGCACTCGTCGCTCGCCGCTCCCCGCGGGAGCGCGCGGGTGCAGCGACACCCCGCGCCCCACCCCAACCAAAGGAGCGGCGAAGGGTGAGGGGAAACAAAAGCCGCCACGGCGGCCCGCGACGCGCGCACCGAGGGCGCCAGCCTCGCGTTCGGCCGACAAGCGCCCTCGGGGCAGCGCGCGCGACGCGGGGGTATATTTACCCTCCCCCCACCGCAGGGAGACGTGGACAAAGAACACGAACAAGACGAGGAACACGAAGTCCATGAAGACCTGAGGCGAGCCACCCCAAACGCACCCCCCAACCGACCCAACCCGCCCCACCACAGGCACCGCGGCGAACCGCGGCGCCAGCGGCGGGGCGGCAGGGGTAGAAGGTTCCCAGGTCCGCGTTTTTGTGACAACGAACAAAACTGCGTTGTGTTCTCGCCCACAAAAGACGCTACCCTGGAAAACCCGAGGGTTGGGGGAGAGCGCGGGGAGCGCTGCGCGTTGGGTAGGCACGCGCCCGCGGGGGGGGGCGAGCGGCGCACTCGTCGCTCGCCGCTCCCCGCGGGAGCGCGCGGGTGCAGCGACACCCAAGGCCCTTGCTGCACCTGCGCGCGAGGAAAACCCAACGCTGTTCTCGCCGAAGGTGTTCTATAGGCTCACAGCCACCTCAGTCCTTGTCTTCGTCGCTGGACGAAGCGCCGCCGTGCGCTTCCCTGACGGCGCTGTCCTCAAGCGCATCCCTGTCTAAATATGACAGGAAGGCGGCGGACCGCCAATCTCCGGCGCGAAGGATGTCGGCCAGCCGCGAGCCACGCACCGCCATGTCTTGGGCGTGGCCCCGACGAAAATCGTGGGTGCGATAGGCATCGTGCCGCGGCACCCCGAGCTCTTGCAGGGCCGCTCTCAACGCCGATAGGACAGCGTCCGGGCGGAAACCCGCAAAAGGCTGCTGGGCCGCGCTGTCGGCGCAGAATTTCCCCAGCGCGTGCACGGGGCACGTTGATGGACAGCGCGCGCACCAGCACGTGCGCGTCATCGTGAGCGGCGTGGCGCGATTCTTGCGCCAAAGCAACGTCAGCGAGATCGAGCCGTCATGCAGGCGTAGGCAGCTCTTCGGCTCGACCGCCCGCGGCGGATCGCCGTCCCGAGCGACGTGCATCGGCAGTGCTTCCGACGGCAATCGCAACAGGAATATGTACGCCGTCAAGAAAAGCATCTGCAGCTCGCGCCCCGATTGGTGGCGTTCGAGATGCTTCAGTAATCTGGCGAGGAGCGCCTCCCGAATAAACATCTTGGGCCTGGCCTGCCAAGTGTTTCGCGCTTGCACCGCGCGAGCCGCGCGCTCGACTGCCGGGTCGCTCAGCGCGTCCAGCGGGACGCGCAACAGGATGCAGACTAATCTGACGTGCGAAATATAGTTGTCGAATGTTCCTTTACAACGGAAGCATGTGCTCCACAATGCAAGGCCCTCGGGCGACGGCGGAATCACTTCCCCCGCGTCGCAGCCGAGCACGGTCATGGCGAAAGTCGCCCAGCAGCGGAAGGCGCTGACTACGCTGGGCCACGTTTTCGGGCAGCTGCCCAGAATCGCGGCGACCCGAGCCGAATTCGACCATTCGCTGAAGCTTCGCTGGGCGAGGCCCTGCCGCAGGGCCTCGACTTCACGGCGGGGGCCCGCGCGCGGCTCGATGGTGCACTGGCGCGCTATGCTGACGGCCAGCTCAAGGTCCCGCACAGCACCGCAAGCCGCCGAAAGCTCATCGCACTTGGCAGCTCGCCGCCTGGCAGGGCGACTGCGGCTGCGGCACTCGCGCTGATGCACGTCGGGTGCAGGCGGAGGTTCGTCCTTTGCGCCGCGCACGACGGCAGATGGCTTCTTCGCTTCGTTAATTAACTCTGACAGCGCTACGCGCAGGGCGTCAGGGCTGACGCCTCGTTCCCCTTCTGCGGCAGACACCGGTTCGAACCAATCGACGCGCGCTAGCTGCAGATCTCTGAGATGCGTTATGTCCTGGCGCCGCAGCAACTCGATCAACGCAAAGGTAACCATGGGTGAAAGCTCTGGCAGGACGCCGCGGACCTCATGAAACAACGTCATGGCTTATCGCTCGACTGAGCGCCCGTCGCTGGCTGCGCTGGGACCGCGCGCTGACGCATAGGACAACCGACCAGGGGCCCATCGATGGGGCCGGTTAACGACGCAGCTTCCACTGTCGGCTTTTGGCATCAACTCGCGCGGGCCGCCCTCGCAAGGCACGCGCGAGGCATGGCTCGCAACGGGCTCGACGCGGGACAGCGGCTCACTCGCCTTCGTTGCTTCGTGCCGCCTTCGATGCGCAACGGCGCTCGCGGGGCGCGACGACGCGCGACGGCGCGCTCCCGCCGGCAGAGCGCGGGCCAGAAACGTCTCCGGCGCGAAGAACTCAGCCGCGCGTAAGCGCGGCGTCACGAAGTTCGCCCCAAGAACACGTAGCAACTCGTACTCCTCCCGCGACGGAAGGTCGGCGATGTTCTCTGCTGATGGGACCCGCGCAAACCACGGCGAACACCGGGTGCGTGCGATGAGGAACCACATGGCGTGAATGATGCGGGAGTGGTCCCAAGCGGAAGCGCGACCGCTCCGCACTGCCCCTTCTGCGCCCACATTGTCGGACCAAATCACCACTCGGCGGTCCGCCAGCAGTTCACTAAAGGTAGCTAATCCCAGCGCTATAGCGAGCAGTTCTAACGCCATAATCTGAGAGTCCCGGCGCGGCGCCAAGTCCTCCAGCAGCTCCTGGTCTGGAGGGGCGTCGGACCAGAAGGCGCGACCATCGACGAACAGCACGGCGGCGAGCCGTGGATCGGACCCGCCCCTTGCGTCAGCGAACAAGTGCACTTCTTGCCGTTCCAGCTGCGCCCACGGCTTGGACTGATGGATGCCGAGGGCCAGCACCTCCGCCCACCATGACAGCGCCAAGTTGAGCGGGGCGCGAACGACACCCCGTCGCGCATTCTGCTGCGCGAACAGGGGCTGCAACATCGCACGCCCTAGCCGCTCGAAGCAATGTTGACCTGCCCAGCTGAGAGCGCCGGCCAGCTTGCTGGCTTGGCCGGCACATAGTGTCCCGCAGTCGAGCGCTTGCTTGATCAAGAAAAGCCACTTGCGCACCTTCTTGGGCGCGGGAAACAAGTTGATCCCGCTGAGAGAAAAGGACACATGCAGGCCCAAAATCTCCAGCTCGTCGCCACATTCCAGCTTCTTATCGGAAACCGCTCCTGGACCTAGGAGCAGGCGCACTAGTCTGGCCAGCGATGCCATGGTATGCTCTTTAGTTGCGGGTGCGCACGGCCCAAAGAAATCGTCCACGTATCGGAGGGTGGGAATCTTTAAGAGCTTGCGGGCGAGGTGCGCCA